GGTGTATTAACTGCCCTCGCCTTGTTTCCTTGGCCCCTTAGGTGTAGGTTATGGGACAGGCTAAACCTCAAGTATAAACGTAGCTTTCTCTGCGACGGAGAGCAGGCAGCGGCAGCCACCAGTGTGGCAGGGGTGCTCACGCAGAGCACTGGCCCCAGGGAGGTTCCCTTTGTCACCTGGTTCCCCCACTAGCCTGAAAGCAGCCTGAGGCAGGCTTTTGTCTTCTTCAGCACTGTACACCAGGGCCAGTAAGTTTTTGTTGATAGACCAAAGGTGAGACTAATTAGCCTTAATAGGTAAGAGTTAGCACATAACTAGTTACTGTTAGTGCTTTACCACAAAGAGTCTTTTCCTTGGCAAGCAAAGTGTTCGGCACGAGCAGGGGCAGAAGGTTCTCTCTAAACTGACACAACCGTTTGAAGAGAACGAGCTTCCGGCAGCGTCCTCATCCCGCCGCCTTTCCAGACCCCGGCGGGGCTGGCCCTGCAGCAGTCAGCCTGTTTGTAGCAGAGATGGAGCCATGGCTCTGTATGACTCCTCCAGAGTACTTCATGCAGTGTCTTACACAGGGACCTGAGAAGCCTGGTGACTAATTGTCTTTATGTCCAGCTTAACTGGTTCCCTCAGAGAGCCATTGTGACAGGGCTTAATGAGAAGGAAATGCGGGCTTTGAATGTGGCCTTCTCTCTTGCCACCTAGAAACATTTTCGGAGATGTGTGTTCATCTCAGCTGTTCTGTGTTCCTGTTTGCAAGTGTGTCCTGGGGAATGTCTTGTCAGAGCAGTAAGGAAAAGGTGCACACAGGCTCGGCGCTCACATGCACATCCCAGGCACAGTTTAATAAGAGGCTTTACAGGGCTTAGTATGTGCTGGGAAAAGTATACCTGACTTGCACTTCTTATTGCCCCGGCTGAAGTGTCAGTCGTTTAGAAGTGAAGCAGCAGCTGCAAAACACCGCATAATGTGGATGAACTTGGAGGACATGCTGAGTGAAATAAGTCAATCACAGAAGGATAAAAACAGTATTAGTTCGTTGTGGAAGGTCAAGGAAAAGTTTATATATGGAGGGAAATGTTCTTTGTTGGTTGCCAGGGGTGGGAGGGAAGGAGAGGGAACACTGCGGGGGGGCGGAATGCATTGACCCATGCAGGGGGAGGAATTGAACAATGATAAGAAATGAATTAAACTAAAAAAAAAAAAAAAAATCAGCAGCAACAACAAAACCCAAATCCTTTTCCTTCTGAAGACCCACAGGTTGAGTTGAAAGAAAGCAGCGTCTCAGTCCCACGGCTTTTATGTTGTTACAGGATGCAGCACCCCTGCCCCAGGCCCGGGGAAGGAATGGGAGGAATATGTGCAGATCCGGTCTCTTGTTGAGAAAATACGGAAAAAGCAAAAAGGTACGTTTCCTAGAGTCATCATCGTTTCATAGCGTCACGTGGAAACACAGCCTGAGTGAGGAAGGCTCTGAGAGGCACCCCGGTTGCAGCGTGCCACGCACCCGTGGCTGTCGGGCTAGGAGGAGATGTGGGCAATCTGCGTTGGAGATGCTGGCACCTGCTTTGGGAGAGGTAGAGACATTCAGCTCCAGGGAGAAAAAAGTTTGTATCTTGGGGCTAAAACGACACAGCTTTTGTTCATTTACTTTTACTTTATGAAACACACGCTTAGGTCTGGTTCCTGTACTGTGTTCCCATTTGGGTACGTAAAGCCGTGTGTGGTCAACGTGCAGGTACATGCTGATTGGTGAATGTGTTCCTGAGTGTTTATAATTCACTTGATCACATCTTGACTAAGAAGAGCCATAGTTATGCTTTGTAAGCAGTGTTTTTGCAGAGGGTGCTCCTTGGGTGGTACAGAGGGTTTGTGCTCAACTGCTTACCTGTAGGTTGACGGTTTGAACCCACCCAGCAGTGCTGAGGAAGAAGCACTGGCTCTCTGTTTCCATAGAGGTTACCCCGAAAATGCCCTGTGGAGCAGTGCTACTCTGTAACATGGGGTCACTGTAAGTCAGCATGAACTCAGCGGCAACAGCAGTGGGTTTGGTTTTCTTTTCTTTTGGTGCAGGTCTTGGCTTCTCAGCCAGGCTGGAGGCGGGGCTGACTGACACCTAGGGTCAGGCTGACAGTGCTCATTCACTATGCCTGTTGTTTCTGCTCTATAAAGCACAAAACACATATGGGTGTGTAGGGTCGCCCTGAGTCCAAGGAGCAGCTGTGTGAGGAGCAGGCTTTTGAAGGGTGGGGCAAAGCTCCTCAGACGCCCATCTTATCCGAAAAGTAAGTTGGAGAATCTGTGTCTTTCCTTGTTGATTTTTTTACTGTTCTACCTTAAACATCTTTAAACACGTCGATGTAAGATGGTCTCACAGTCCCAAATTGTCAACAGCATATCCCTTCATAATGTTACTCACACGAAGTGCTGATGGGCCTGGAGGGGTGTAGGGAGCCTGGACTTTTGTATGTCCTTTGTTTCTGTTCTGTGTAGATACGCTTACTGAAACTAACACTTAAGTTAGCGCCTTTGTTAGTTCTCAGTGAGTGAGGAGTGGCTCGTGTCTTGGTGTGTCCCTGACTTGGTCATTTCCCTTCATTAAGCAAGGTTCTGGACAGATTGTGTGACACCGCCCTGTGGCAGCCATTACTGTCTGCCATCCTGTGATGGGGAGGCCACAGGCAGGGGCCTCAGGTGCACACCCAGCCCCTCACCTAGGACACTTCTGCTCCTCTTCTAGGCCACACTACAGACCGGATCTCCTGCGTGTGCCTTTGGATCTCTGTAACTGTTTCTGAATGTGTCAGTTTCCTTTGCTTCTTGCACATCTGCTGGCTTGCTCCTTCGCCCTCCCCATGTCCTTTGTTTGGATTTCTATTGGCTTTGAAGGACGAAGACCTGCAGATCCCCTTGCAGTCCCACACCTTGGTCAGTTTCTGTCCCACCCACATTGGTTATCTTTTCTCTGAAGGTTTTCTTACTTAATGGAGGATCCCAAAACATGTGGTAGTAGCAAAATACATGATAGTAATAGGCATTTTTAAAATTCACGTAAGTGGTATCATATGCGTGATATGTTAAAAACATGACCTGTTGTTGTTGTTATGTGCCATGAGTCGCACCCGACTCATAGCGACCCCTCCTTGGGTTTCTGAGGTGGTATCTCTACAGAAGTAGATGCCCCATCTTCCTTTCGAGGAGTGGCTGGTGGGTTTGAACCGCCAGCCTTCTGGTTAGCAGTCAAGTGCCTTAGGCACTACGCCACCAGAGCTCGCTCACAGTACCTACTAAGTAGTAAATATTTCTCTATAACTGGCAGGGACTTTAGGATTTAACCTGCCTCATACGTCACTGCTTATGTACTGTGACGATGTGGGTGTTTCATTTTGACTGTTGCAGGATTGGAGTATTAGGACAATGTTGAACTTGCTACCTTTGAGTCAATTCTGACTCATAGTGACCCTAGAGGACAGAGTAGAACTGCCCCATAGGGTATCCTAGGCTGTCAATCTTTACAGAAGCAGACTGCCTCATTGTTGTCTCTCAGAGCGCTGTTGGGTTTGAACCGCTAACCTTTTGGTTAGCAGCTGGATGCCTTAATCATATGGAACCAGGGCTCCTTCCAGCATTGATCAAGGTCTGTTTTTATTTTCTGAGGGCAATTTGTGTGGTCTGTGCCCTAAAGTAGCTCTTATTTTCTAACACATGGGCTGATCTAGGTCTGTCTGTGACTTTTGATGGGAAAAGAGAAGATTACTTTCCTGAACTGATGAGATGGGCCTCTGCCAATGGGGCCTCAGTGGAGGGTTTTGAAATGGCTCCCTTCAGAGAAGAGGGCTTTGGTCTGAGAGCAACCAGAGACATCAAGGTGAGTCCTAAGCTGTCGGTGGGAGCAGTCTGAGTGGGTTCCAAGCGTGGGGTGGCCTGGAGTGCCCGGGTGAGGGGATGGGACATGGCTTGCTGCCACGCCCCACGGGCAGCCTGCTTGGGCACCTTGAGCCCTGTTCCGGGCGGCCCCTCAGCTCACCATCCTGGGAACTACAGGTTAACCTGTGGCTTTCAGCAGGCTGGCTCGTGTTCTGTTAGGTGACTGTAGCATGCCTCACGGGGTTTCGCAGTTTGAATGAAGAGCAGGATGTAGACTCAGGGTCATGTGGAGGAAGAGCACATGGGGCCTTGTGATGGGGTAGCTGTGGGGGTGAGGGGCTGTGTAAAGATGCTCTCCAGTTTCCTACAGTGAATAACTGAGTGGTGGGAGCTGCCACTTAATAGCAACAGCAGCAGAGAATAGGAAAGGAGGGGAGAGTCCTCACTGCTGAGTGAGAGGGGCACTCCTCCTCTCAAGAGGCTCCCCCCTCACCTGACATCCCCCCACCCTCCAGGTCCTCCTCTCATGGGGCTCCCCCCTCACCTGCCATCCCGGCCCCTCTCCACTCCCCCCTCACCTGACATGCCGGCCCCTCTCCACTCCCCCCTCAACGGCCATCTTGGCCTCTCTCCGCTCCTCCATCACCTGTCATCCTGGCCTCTCTCCGCCACCCTCTCTCCGCCACCCCCCTCACCGGCCATCCCGGCCTCTCTCCGCCACCCCCCTCACCGGCCATCCTGGCCTCTCTCCACTTTTCCACTCCACTGACATTCCCACCCCCTAGGTCCTCCTCTCATGGGGCTCTCCCAGCACCTGCTATCCCAGCCCTCTCCACCCACCCTCACCTGTCCTAGGTGGGGTGGCACTGGATCTGTGAGAGTCTGGGAGAAAGAACTGGGCTGTTACAGCCTTTTTCTCTGGGAGCTGGTTGCTCATATGCATTCATTCTGCTAAGCTTCCCCATGCTGCAGGTCTCCCAGGTAGACTCCTGTGGGGAGGCTGCTGGGGCTCTGGTTCTGCTTTTAACTAGGTGGGAATGTCGGTCTAATTCTGGGGTTCAGCAGGTGATATTTTGGGTGGCTAGACAGTCTGCTGTATTCTTATGTCTGTCTAGTTCAGAATTTGAGTAGAGTAAGTAGGTGTTACTTGGACCCCCTCAAACCTTCAGCGACATTTTTGGTCAAGTTGTAATTAACCTTTCATTGTTACATTGATAAATCATATACTGGTGTATCAGATACCCATCAAATTGTCTACCATACTTGTACTCATACCAGAGTCTCCCCAAGACAAGGACCTCTTCCTTCCTTTAGTTAAGGACAAGATATATATGAATAATTCACACAATACATGTTGGTGACCACATGTCACCTGTTGTCTTGTCATGTCTGGTGAGAAGCTAGCATCATTTGTTCAGATGCTGCCCACAGTGTCTTAGCTGTGGTCTGTCTCCTACGTGCCGTTTCAACTGTAAAGATGCACACATGGGGAACTTAGTAAAACGAATCCTCTCCTTTGGCCAGAAAACAAAACAAAACAAAACAAAACAAAACAAAAAAACCCAGTAAACCTACACTTTTGCTGGTGCTGTTGTGTCTAGCTTGGCGTGAACATCCCTTGGCTTCAAAACCTCCACAGTAGGAGCAGTTTACGTAGATTTAGGTTTTGATTGGGGCAGACTCTTTTTTTATTTCTCTGTTTCTAGAACTTAAAAATTCAAGTTCAGAAAAGATACAGTTGTGCTCACTATCCCAAATTACTTGCTTTAAGTTAAAGTTGAAAGTCCTTTTCTGACCACGTGCCCTCGGGTAGGTTAGTTTTTGTACTGGAATCTTACTGTAATGTATGCCTCTGCTCATTTATTGACTTACTTAATTGAATCCTTGCATTCTTACATACACTTGGTGTTTAGAAATGAAGTAGTGATAAACCAAAAAACCCAGCTCACTGCTGTCAAGTCAGATCCAACTCATAGTGACCCCTCCTGGGGGTCTGAGGTAGTATCCCTACGGAGAAGTTGAGGTCGTGTTCAATGTCTGATTGGCCTTCTGACCACAGACACAGCTGGACTGAAATGTTAACATCTTTGATGATGCTGCTATTTTCTTATTTTTTCCCCAGGCCGAAGAATTATTTTTGTGGGTTCCACGAAAATTACTGATGACGGTTGAATCTGCCAAAAATTCAGTGTTGGGTGAGAATGATTTCTGACTGTTCATTCAAGGCAAAGTGCAGTAGGCACACACACAATTGCATTTTGTGGAGCTGAGGGTCCTGTTTGGGTGTCATTCTCAACTGGGGAAACAGTCCCCCAAATCCACATGAGGTGTCCTCAGGACAGATGTGCCTAATCTGACCTAATACAAGAGGGCCCAAAGAAACACACAGGATTGTAAATCATACAAGACATGGCAGTTAGTTCTATAGCTTTAAACTATGTCTCGAATATGGACTTGTTAAAGACGTTTGTGGGACTTAATGCTGTTCACTTCTGGGTTAATTCAGGGCCCTTATACTCTCAAGACCGAATTCTGCAAGCCATGGGGAATATCACCCTGGCCTTTCATCTGCTGTGTGAGAGGGCCAGCCCTAACTCTTTCTGGCAGCCCTACATTCAGACCCTGCCCAGTGAGTACGACACTCCGCTGTACTTTGAAGAAGATGAGGTCCGCTATCTGCAGTCGACACAAGCCGTGCACGACATCTTCAGCCAGTACAAAAACACAGCCCGGCAGTACGCCTATTTCTATAAGGTGATCCAGGTGAGTTGTTGTTCCCTGGGCCCGGGTCCTTCCCAGGGTGGGAGGAAAGGAGTGGGTGCAGGAAGCGTCCCACTTGACTTCTTGTTGAAGGATGCACAGAGGTTTTTATTGCTAAATTGAAAAATGAGTACAGTGCTTTTTCTGTTTTCACAACTATACCAGTGGAATCTTGTTTTGAATGTACTATCTGATGTCATCAGGGACCAGGGAACCAGAAGCAGCAATAATTCCTGAGTTTCTCAAGAGTGTCTACGTTTTTCTGAGAGCCAGAGATTACAAAAACGAGTCTAAAAGCTATTAAATGTATCTGATAGGAAAAGGTGTTCTGTGGATTGACTTTCCAAGAAAATGAAAGCCCATTTGTGGGTTCGTCATGTGTATGTATGTGTGTGCACACACACACACTCTAGTAAAAGGGTGACCTTTAATTTATTAGATGATGACACTTTGTTTTGCACAGTGTACAGTGTGTTATATTCTTGTCAGTTGTCAGTGAAAGGGTCCACATAAAAGCTTCTGTAGGTGTGAACATTGGAATAACGCCTGGTTACCTCTCTCAGCCGCCAGCACCATCACTTCCAGTTGAACAGCAGGTAGCAGGTTCAGGGCCAGAGTCCTGGCTCCCACTTGAGGTGGAGGGGGAGTTTCTGTGCCCCTGATTCTCCCCTTTCTCAGTCGCTCAAGGGTCAGCTCTGGGGCTCCTACAGGTAGACAAGGCGGCTGCAGTGCTCCTTCGCTCTGCTCTGGGCACTTCGACACCCACATCGGGCTCAGGTTGTTGTTAATAGCTCATCTGGTCCTGCTGTGCTTTATTTGCAGGAAGCGGTACTCTCGTTTCATTTCCCTAGGTGATACGGCTTTCAGTTCATAATTTCACTTGTTAGCATGTTACCACACTAGACTAATGCATTCAGAATTATATCCTAGCCCTCAAAATGCTTCAGATAAACCAGAAATGATAGAAGTCCTGTTGTTCTCAAGTTTAAATCACTGTTTTCCTAAACCCTAAACTTGAGGAAGTCATTCGGAATTATCCCGTGGTATGTATGTGGCTTTTCTTTCAAGCTGGTGTGATTTAAGCAACATGGATGCAGCCCCCTCAGACTCGGACTCTTCATCCGGGCATACCCACACCCTGAACCCATGCGGATGTCGTGACCTGGAGGGCTCTGCTTTGACTGGCTTTTCACTTCTCCATTTTTAATGACTGCAGATAAAGCTGAGTTTTGTAGGCCTGTTGTTTTCTGTCATTGGACAGCAGACTGAGAAACAGCTCTTTTCACTCTTGTGTCTCTCACATCCAAGCTGCCATTGTTTGACGAGTGTGGTCGCCTACCCCAAAAGGGATCAGTTCTGCTGGGCTAGAGACACTGACATGGCAGCAGGGCTCTGGTAACTGGCCTCTCGGGGTCCCTAGCTATTTGTATTCACCGGCCTGCTTGCTTCAATATTAACTGAGCTGGGTGCTCTGGATTCAGAATTGGCTGAGGTTTTAAATGCCTGTGAGCCGCTAAGCCTCCATTTGACGTCAGCCTGTTTAGGCGCCCCTCTCACACTGTTCAGGTGACTACGTGTCTCCAGCGCAGTGTAGTCAGCAGTTGTGGTTGTCGTGAGGTGCCGTCGGTCGGCTCTGACTCATAGCGAGCCTGTGTACGACAGAACGCAGCACTGCCTGGCCCTGCACCAGCCTCACAATCCTGGCTGTACCTGAGCCCGTTGTTGTAGCCGCTGTGCCAGTCCATCTCATTGAGGGCCTTCCCCTTCTTTGTTGACCCTCCACTTTACCAAGCATGAGATCCTTCTCCAGAGAATGGTTCCTTTTGACGTGACCATTGTAGGTGAGATGAAGTCTGGCCATCCTCGCTTCCAGGGAGCATTCTGCCGTACTTCTTCCAGGACGGGTTTGTTAGTTGTTCTGGCAGTCCATGGAATTTTCATTATTCTTTGCCAACACCACAACTCAAAAACATCTGCTCTTCCTCAGTCTTCCTTATTCATTGTCCAGCTCTCACATGCAGATGAGGCTGTTGAAAATACCTTGGCTTAGGTTAGGCGCACCTTCATCTTCAAATAGATATCTTTGCTTTTCAGCACTTTAAGGAAGTCTTTTGCAGCAGGTTTGCCCAGTGCAATACAACATCTGGTTTCTTGACTGCTATTCCATTGATGTTGATTGTGGAACCAAGTAATATGAAATCTGAAATCTTTGACAACTTCAGTCTTTTTTCTCCATTTATCGTGATGCTGCTTGTTGGTCTGCTTGTGAGGATTTTAATTTTTTTTGTGTTGAGGTGTAATCCATACTGAAGAGTATAGTCTTTAATCTTCATCAGTAAGGGCTTCAAGTCATTTTTACTTTCAGCAAGCAAGGTTATGTCGTCTGCATATTTCAGGTTGTTAGTAAGTCTTCCTTCAATCCTGATGCTGCTGCATTATTCTTCATATAGTTCTGCTTCTTGAATTTTTTGCTCAACATACAGATTGAGTAAGTATGGTGAGAGGATACAACCCTGATGCCCACCTTTCCTGATTTTAAGCCATGCAAGTATCCCCTTGTTCTGTTTGAATGACAGCTTCCTGGTCCGTATACAGGTTCCTCATGAGCACAATCAAGTGTTTTAGAATTGCCATTCTTCTCAGTGTTATCCATAATTTGTTATGATCCACACAGTTAAATGCTTTTGCATAGTCAATAAAACACAAGTAAACATCTTTTTGATATTCTTTGCTTTCAGCCAGGATCCATCTGACATCAGCAATGATATCCCTCATTCCTTGTCCTCTTCTGAATCCAGCTTGCATTCTGGGAGTTCCCAGTCAATATACTGCTGCCACCATTTTTGAGTTATCTTCAGCAAAATTTTACTTGCATGTGATATTAATGCTATTGTTTGATAACTTCACATTCTGTGGGATCACCTTTCTTTGGAATGGGTTCAAATATGGATCTCTTCCAGTCACTTGGCCTGGTAGCCGTCTTCCAAATGTCTTAGTATGGACGAGTGAGTGCCTCTAGTGCAGCATCCGTTTGCTGAAACATCTCAGTGGCTATTCTGTAAATTCCCAGAGCTTTGACTTCTTCCTGCATTATCACTGGTTCTTGATCATATGCCACCTCCTGAAATGGGTGATCATCTACCAGTTCTTTTTGGTACAGTGACTCTGTGTATTCCTTCCATCTTCTTTTGACGTTTCCTGCGTCATTCAGTATTTTGTGCATAGAATCTTTCAGTATTGCCACTTGAGGCTTGAATTTTTCCTCAGTTCTTTCAGCTTGAGAAATGCTGAGCATGTTCTTCCCTTTTGGTTTTCTAACTCCAGGTCTTTGTGCATTTCATTATAGTAATTGGCTTGGTCTTCTTGAGTCAGCAGTGGTGTGAAAACCTTAGGGGCCAGAGAAGAGTCTACAAGTAAACCCCACTCAGCCGTTGTCCCGAGGCGATAATGCTGTCACAGGGGCGGGAACAGTCGGTGTACTTTATGATACAGATACCCTCTTTATATAAAACACCGTTCTCAAAGCACTAATGGGATTGGTCTTTTGAAAGCATAGTCCTGTAGCTGAAAACGTTGACCAGGAATGTGGGGACGAGGTGTGCACAGATGTGAACGGATCATCAGGTGTTAACATTTTGTTCAGTTAAACCACCCGTATATTGAAGATAACTGTCGTGATTTCAAGTGGAATCCAGCGAGGTACTTTTCTAACATGAGAGGCTCAGACTACAGAGAGCATGTAGTGTGTCTGCATCCACGTTAGTGCTTCTCCCTGGCTTTTTGCCCCTCAGATGCAACTGGCAGGGTCTGGGACATTCTTGTTGTAACTGGAATGAGGCGGGGTACAGGATCCAGGCCAGAGATGCTGCTAAACCGCCTACGATGCGTAGGGCAGCCCCCACAGTAGAAGCCTTTCTGCCCCACGTGTCTGTTGTCCTGAGATTGAGAAACCCTGCTTTGTGTTCAGAGCACAGAACAAAGCCCCTCAGATACCCCCGTGATGTCAGAGAGCATGGTCACCTCTGTCCGTGAGCATGACTAGAGCCTGAGCCTCGCTGAGAGTCTCTGTGCCTGCACGTCAGGAGTCGACTCATTGGCTGAGTCCAGACTCCCCCACCCCCACCCTGCTGGCTTGTGCTGTAGGAGAGGGGGTTCCCCCACCCTCCCTGTGCTGCACAAGAGGGGGTTGATGGGACTGATGGGATTGATTGTAAAGTAGTGTTTTGTTCACGGATTTTAACAAACATTCTTTTCAAACAAAACCAAACTACAAAATCCCCTTCAAGTGTCAGACTAGGTGTGGAGAAGTTCATTTTACCAGGGATGTAAATACAAGGGAACAAATGTTGAGAAAATGTGAACATAAAATGCACTTCCTCTACAGAGTCGTGCAGACTTGGACTAGAGTGAAGTTGATCCTTGGAGCTGAATGTTTAAAGTGAAGCACGTGGTGAAACAAGACCCTGGGGGAGGGGCACAGGTTAACGCTCCACCACTAGCTGAAAGGTTGGCGGCTTGAACCCACCCAGAGGCACCTTGGAAGATAGGTCTGGCAACCTGCTTCTGAAAGGTCACAGCCGTGAAAATTCAGTGACGCAGTTGCACTCTGCATGCAGGGCTCGCCATGCTTCTGGCGACTCTATGACATCTAGCGTGTGGTGCTGTGCTCGCTTCTCCAGGGGAGCTGGGAGGGCTTAGGCAGGAAGGCAGCATTTGTGTTATGGGAGAGAGCAAACAGTGTTCCCTGAACGGGGAGCCCAGACAGGTTGTAAGGAAGGGTCCCAAGCAGCCATCGGCTATTCTGCCTAAGGTTGGAGGCGGTGCAGGGTCTGAGCTTTGGAGTGAGGCAAACCTGACTTAAAATCCTGATCCCATGTCTCACTTGTTTAAATACAATGTGGAAAAGTTGCTTTATTTCTGAATTTGTTTTCTGCTCTGTCAAATAAAAGTGTCGAGAGCACCGTCAGCATAACAATACCCCTGGGTGGCTGCAGTGGGAGGGC